AGGCGGAGGAGGAGGGAGGCTAGAAGGAAAGTAGGGGCTAATGGGTGAGGGTAGGCCACTAAAAGAATGAAATAGTGGGAAACCAGGTCTAGATTGGAAGTCAAAGGAGATAGGTTGACGTACCTGAGAGCAATTGGCCTTATGTGGTGGGAAGCCTGAACTAGGTTGGGGCATTAATGGCTTAGGGCAATTCATGTATGAATTAGTTGCTGGATATATAGTAGGGCTTTGATAAGTAACCGGTACGCAGGACAGAGAATTATTCGAGGATATAATTGGAGCTGCGGGATTTGTAGACGTGCTGGGCTGAGCTGTATATGGCCTTGTGTAACGGATTTCATAAAATGGTACGTAGGCGGGTCAGGGCCGTGCAGCAGCTCTCCAGCGGGAAAGCACCCGGATCGGACGCGATCCCTGCTGAGGTCTACAAGCACGGAGGTTCCCAACTAATGGATCACCTGACTGCGCTCTTCCAAGAGATGTGGCGTCAAGGTGAAGTCCCACAAGATTTGAAAGACGCAACCATCGTGCATCTCTACAAGCGCAAAGGGAATCGCCAAGTCTGCGACAATCACCGCGGCATCTCCCTGCTGAACAACGCCGGGAAGATCTTCGCACGAACCCTCCTCAACCGCCTCAATAACCATCTGGAACAGGGCCTTCTGCCGGAAAGCCAATGCGGCTTCCGTCGTCATCGTGGGACCACGGATATGATCTTCGCCGCCCGTCAACTTCAGGAGAAGTGTCAGGAGATGCGGACATACCTGTACTCTACCTTCGTGGACCTGACGAAAGCCTTCGACACGGTGAATCGTGAAGGAGTGTGGAAGATCATGCAGAAATTCGGCTGTCCGGAGCGATTCACTCAGATGGTGCGTCAGCTGCACGACGGTATGATGGCGCGAGTCACGGACAACGGAGCTGTCTCAGAGGCATTCGCAGTGACCAATGGAGTGAAGCGGGGCTGCGAACTGGCGCCTACCCTCTTCAGTCTTATGTTCTCTGCCATGCTGATGGACGCCTACCGCGACGAACGCCCCGGGATCCGCATCGCCTACAGGACGGACGGTCACCTCCTGAATCAACGGCGGATGCACTTCAAATCGCGCGTATCCACAACCACTCTTCACGAACTCCTCTTCGCCGACGACTGCGCCCTGAACACCACCTCGGAAGAGGAGATGCAACGGAGCATGGACCTGTTCTCCGCCGCCTGCGAGAACTTCGGTCTGGTCATCAACACACAGAAGACGGTGGTGATGCACCAACCGCCACCCAACTCGGCCACAGCCCCCAACGCGCCGCCGCAAATCAGCGTGAATGGGACCCAACTGCAAGTGGTGGAGAGCTTCCCGTACCTGGGCAGTACTCTCTCCCGCAACACCAAGATCGACGATGAAGTCGCCAACAGGATCTCGAAAGCCAATCAAGCCTTCGGTCGCCTCCAAAGCACCGTTTGGAATCGTCATGGTCTCCAACTGAGCACGAAGCTGAAGATGTACAAGGCTGTCATCCTGCCGACGCTACTGTATGGAGCGGAGACTTGGACGGTGTACGCAAAGCAGGCACGCCGTCTGAACCACTTCCACCTCAGTTGTCTTCGTCGCATCCTGAGGCTGAACTGGTAGGATGGAATCTTCGACACTGATGTGCTGGAACGGACGGGAATCCTCAGCATCTACGCCATACTGAGGCAAATTCAGCTGCGATGGAGCGGCTACCTGGTGCGCATGGACGACGAGCGACAACCCAAACGACTCTTCTACGGAGACGTCGCGACGGGTTCTCGCCGTCAAGGAGGCCAGATTCGCCGTTACAAGGATACCCTGAAGTCCTCCCTGAAATGCCTGCAAAGCAACCCCACAAACTGGGAGGAGCTCGCACTCGATCGACCGACCTGGAGGAGGACAGTGAAGACAGGCGCTGCGATCTACGAAGCCAACCGCATCGCTGACGCCAAAGCGAAACGTGAAGCCCGCAAATCACAACTTCGCCCAGTACGCAACGCCGCCGCACAACCGCTTCCAACGTGTCCTCGATGTCAACGGACATTCCGGGCTCGAATCGGGCTTGTTGGACATCTTCGGATTAACTGCGCCTCTCGAACAGCACCAACCATCGTCCCCCCGCCTGCCTCTTCCTCCTCCTCCTCCTCCTCTCCGCCGCCTACTAACCCTGACAATTCTTCTGACCCACCACTTCCATCCTCCTCCTCCTCCTCCTCCTCCTCCTTCTCCTCCTCCTCCTCCTCTTGCTCCTCCTCCTCGCCCACTGCTCCAACGGCGGCCGCTCAGGCGACTGTCCCACGCAGAGCAACCGACACTACCACCACCTCCCCCGAATCCAGGGATGAGGATCAGGACTACACCTGCCCTCACTGCGATCGCACCTTCACCTCACGTATCGTCCTGGTCGGTCACTTGCGAATCCATCGCACAGAGCCTGGCGAACCAGTGCGTGAAGCATTAACCTACACCCACCGCACTCGCCTCCACTGCACACACTGCCCTCGCACCTTCACGCATCGCATGGGTCTATTCGGCCACATGCGCATCCACGAGAGCGGCCTTGACCGCACTCCCGACACACCCACTACATCAAACACATCCACCGTGCACACTTCCACTCTCGTTCCATCCGTCCGCGACACCACCACCACCACCACCACCACCGCCTCCTTTGTAGCTGACACTGACACCGCCGACTTCTCATGCCCACACTGTCCACGCACATTCACCTCACGCATCAGCCTGGTCGGTCACTTGCAAATCCATCGCACAGAGACTGGCGAACCAGTGCCTGGAGCACCCACCTATACCCACCAAGCTCGTCTCAACTGCCCACACTGTCCTCGCACTTTCAGGCATCGCATGAGCCTATTCGGCCACATGCGCATCCACGACGACCTGCGGTAGACAACCGCCGGCCACACCACACATTCACTCACCCCCTACCTCCTCCACCACCACCATCACCCCACCAGAAGTCAACACTCACACACCTCATGCACCCAACTGCCACCTCCCACGCAAGTGGGAAGTCCGCATCTCGACTCGGTCCCCATGCGGCTTCGGCTGCACGGGTGACTTGAGTCCGAGACTATTCCGACACGTCAAGCGTCGTGGATAGGAAGGTTGCTGATTGACGCCCGCTCTCGGTTCACGCAGTTCGTCGCGTTGTGTGTGTGTGCGTTGTGTGGAGTGGCGGACTGGTGGGCTGGGAACGGGCTGAAACAGCACCTTCCACGGCACTCTCACGCAAGTGAGAGACACGCCGTTCAACCCCCGTTGTGTGAAATCCTGGTGTTGTGTGTGTATGGGGGGCCAGGTCGTGCCGTGGCGCGCGCAGTCATGGTCAGTCGACCATGACAGCCACCGCACCCACTCCCTACTCCAGTCTGCTGACCGGCTCGGACAGCGGCTGGGGTGTGGGAGTGGGAAGGGAGAGTGAGGTCGAAGACTCAGCGCACTTTCTCCTCACTATAAACAATCTGACGCGCTTGAAGCTATCATGGTGCGCTAAAAGCCGTGGCTTGGAAGGTTGCCAACTGACGGGGTATCTTGGACCTCCTCCTTGACCGGAGGCGGTCTGAGAGTCAGGCTGCAATGGCTCCTTTTTAAATTGGCCTTTATGGCACTCCCATCACAGTGTGGGATCCGAGCCAGGCGTTGGCGGCACGCCCAGGTGCGGCTTCGGTCGTGCCAGCCTCCAAATCTCTCTTGTGTTGGTTGAAATCCTGGTTATTTGTTGTGTGGGCCAGGGGGTGTGGTGGAACGCCAAGGTGAGTATCCGTCCGAGCCATCCACCTGCGGCCTCTCTCTTCTCCAGTCTTCTTGACGCTGTCTTGACACCGGGCTCGGGCGAGGGGGGAGGAGAGTGTGTAGGTAGATGCTACGCAAGTCTACCGGCACTATAATCCCTGCGTAAGTCACCGTCCCTGCTCCCATTGCTGCTGCAACTGTGGGGCACATGGTGGACATCATCGAAACCGATGGTCGAACTGTCACGTAGGCGGGTCGGTCAGAACTGGCCTGTATGTGGCCTTGAATAAGATAAGTAAGTGGCGAAATTGAAATAGGAGAAAAAAAACCTTCAAAAAATAGCATCAGAAAAATGCAGAGAGGACTGGCCTGCATGTGGCGGTACAGAATGGAATATAGTCGGACATCAACATGGCCGAAATAAATGTCAGCTGTATATGGCATTGTGTAACGGATTTCATAAAATGGTACGTAGGCGGGTCGGTCAGGACTGGCCTGTATCGCCTTGAATAAGAAAAATAAGTGGCGAAATTGAAAACCAGTCTCGAGGCGATAGGAACCCAGATGCGGTCGGTTTCATTCGACCGAGTCCATCCGAGCATGGGGAAGGGAGATGAGACCAGACTACTAGTATATGGCGAATACAGAAGATTTCGCCAAGAGCATCGATGGTGCGCATTCTGTGAGGGCACGATGCATGAACTGAAAAATTGGAATAATTAACATTTCTGGTGAGAATCTTAGGTAGCGAGACTACTTATACAGGAAGGAAACGTGAACAGATACGGAAATGTAATGGCGGCATGCTAAATTCCCAGTGGCCCTTTCTCAGTGTCATAGAAAAAGTTGTCTGGGAATGATGAGGAAAATAAAAGTTTAATCGAGTCAGTATTCAGATAAAGGCGTAGCCTTCTCTTAAAGTTGTGTAGATTTTCTGAAGATCTTATATTTATTGGAAGGTTATTCCAGAGTAAAGTATACCTGGAGGCGAAAAAAGGGAGCGCTTAGAGGTGGAGGACGCTGGAGGAGGTATAATTAGAGACGAATTGCGAAGATTGTATGGGCGACTACTAGGGGTGAGTGCTGAAATCCGAGGAAAATTTGAACTATGATTAATGCGAAAGAGGAGACAGAAGCCCGATTCTAGTCTTTGAACTCATAAAACGTTTAGGTTAATTAGCTGGCATCTATCTGAGTAGGAGATATTGGGATGTTCCCTATCTAAAAGTTTTTCAGAAAAACGTCTTTGGACATTTTCAATTTTTAAACGACTGGCTTCATTCATCAAACCAAAGAATGGGCAACAATACTCGAGAATGGGAAGTACAAACATACGATAGAGTCTTAATTTAATTTCAGGAAGATAGAAATTGTAAGAAATTAAGCCTCAAATATGGGCAGCTTTGGCTGTAATTCTGTCAGCGTGCGGCGAGAGATCAAGATTACTAGTGTAGCTTAAACCTAAATCCTTGATGGTGGTACATTCAGTCATAGGTGTGCCTTGAAAGACCACTAGTTGGGGTAGTCTATCAGGTCCAAAGCACATATAGCGACATTTAGACGGAGAAAATTCCATTAGCCATTTTGAGCTCCAAGCTGAGAGAGCAAGCAAGTCAGCATGGATTTGCTCCAGGCAATGAAGGCTCGTAGAGTTTTTGAAAGAATATACACATTTGAGATCATTGGCATAAATAAATGATTGAGAATGTTTAACTGCTGCTGAAATATCATCTATGTAAAGCAAGAACAACAGGGGACCTAAAACGGTACCTTGTAGGACACCGCTTACAAATGGACTTTCACTGGAAAGTGAAGATCCCACCAAAACCTTTTGTTTACGATTAGACAGGTATGACCTGAGAAAGTCTATTAGTGGACTGCAAATTCCCATAGCTTCCAATTTACCCAAGAGTCTTTTATGTGGTACTTTATCAAAGGCTTTACTAAGATCAAAATAAATAACGACAACAGATGGGTGATCATTACGAAGAGGGGTAAGTAGATTGAGAAACCACAGATGACATGTTTCACAAGAGCGATCTGGTAAAAAACCATGCTGGTATGGGCTAAGAACTTGATTGGCTATGCAAAATTCGGTAATTTTTACGGCGATAATTTTTTCAAAGATTTTGGTGAGAGAGGGTGTTTTATGGACACCTCGATAGTTCTGTACGTCAGGACGACAGCCAGACTTAAATACTGGAATAATAATAGAAGTTTTCCAATAGTCAGGGAAGAAGCCATTTACGAGAAATACTGAAAAGATTTTGCTAAGCAGAGGAGGAAAATCTCTTAGCTGTTTTATCAAAGAGTTTGGGATATTGTCCGTACCTACTGAGTGAGAGTTAGGAAGACGGTTTATCAGTTTTTGAATACATTCAGGAGAAAAATTAATGACGCTAAGAGAAGCATCAGACAACGAAGGAAGTAAAGGGATCGGATCAGTTTCAATGGTGAAATGTTTGGCAAAGAACGAATTTAAAATTTCAGCTTTGCCTGACTCCTCAGTAATGAAGGCATCGCTAGCACTAAGCAAGGGTGGAATGACTTGGTGGGACTTAGCAGATGATCTCTGACGGAAGATATGAGCAACTGATTTAGAAGCATTCACGTCATTAATAGCTAAAGACTCTCTACGCCTATCTCGCTCAAGCCTCATTTTCGAAGCTAGTTCAAAAATTTCAACGATTCTTAGATGGACTGATAATGAGCTCACAGAAGGATCTTTAAATTGCTTCCGTAACTTTTTAAGTCTGTTTTTAAGAAAGTGTGAGATAGCGGTGGAATTAGCACTCGATTTGAACATCTTCCGAGGAATAAGGTCAAGAAGACCTTCTGTTACGCATTGTAATAAATTGATGAAAAAATTTAGATCATTATTTGAAAAAATATTGTGCCAATCAAGGGTGCATGTAAAGTTATTGACTAATTCTTTTTTAACATTAGCAACGTTAAAAATACTACGTTTAACTGTTGGCTTTGCGGAAATGGCAACTGGAAGGCGACAATGGATTAATGCATGATCACTTGCAAAGAGGTCGTGATAGAAATCCATAGATAAAGGGAATGTGCCATTAGTAAAAATTAAGTCTAAAACACTATCGTTTCTGGTCGAAGAGTGAACTAATTGAGTCAGGTTTGAAAAGTAAATTGTGTCAAGCAGCTTCTGGAATTTAGGAGGAGAAGTATGTGTGTGCCAGTCAATTTCTGGCAAATTAAAATCGCCTACGTTTATCTTAGCATCGAAAGAAGTTTCCGCAATTTTTTAAAAGAGTTCACAAAGTTGGCTTTCATTCCCGGAGGAACAAGGAGGATTATATACACATCCGACTAAGGCTTTCCTATTATGCGGAAGGATTACCGAAGCAAAACATAAATTTCCAGAGAAGGAGGAAATGTCCAAGTTATAAGGCGCTTGTGCAAGTGATGCTCTTATGTAAAGAAGGCATCCACCGCCGCGTCTTTCGGCACGGTCCTGGCGGTATAAACTGAGGCTATCTATATTAAGTGTCGAGTCTGAAATTAGAGAGTGGGCCCAAGATTCTGTAATGCATAATACGTCTGTGTCAAACTCAACAGCTACACTTCTTAGGTGTGCCATCTTTTGCACGACAGATCTTGCGTTGCGAGAGACAATACTGAGCGTATTCCTAATATGTAGGTTCCGCTCATTGCTACTTATAAAAAAGGAAGAGCCGGAGGTGGAAAATTAAGCTGTTGGAACGAAGCAACTGGTGGAGGACAAAGTTGCTGTGGCCTAAAATTTATGGGGTAATTACTAACTAGAGATGCAGCATTCGGTGGAAAAACATTTGAGGAGGACCCGGAAAGAGGAAAACTATTTTGTTGGGTTGGAAAAGTAGGAGGCAAGAAAATAGGATTTTAGGAATTGTTAGCATAATGTGAGGGGTAGTTTATGTTAGGTAGCGGACGTAATGGTTTCGGAAAACAGTTAACATCAGGAAAGGGCTTTATTATTTGGGGTGTCAGACTAGCAATGGGATTGGAAAATTTATCATCAATGCAATATACTTGCATTTTGCAGTCTGATGTGTAAGAGGGCTTCACAACTGTGGCGTTAAGTTGAGAATTCAGGATAGGAACAGGTAAAGACCTCCCTGAACTCTCATCTAGTTTATTTGACCTAACTGCAA